TCATAGGACAAGTGCGGCTATCATGGGTAACAACTTGTTTACATGTACTGCACATGCATGGTATATTATCCTTCTTTTGTTGTTTCTTTCCCTTCTCATTATGCCCATTTATCCTCTTTATCTTACCCCTTGAGCGAATATCATTTGGCGGGTGGATACCAACTTCATCAGGAATGGTACAACCAAGAAATTGCTCAAACTGTTGAACTAGACTTTGTTCTTTGGCTGGTACAACCTTGTTCAGTTCTTCCCCAAGTGCATAGATTCCATCTTTGAAGAATTTCACACCAGCCTGCGACTGCTTAGCTTGAACTAATAATTCTTTCATCTTCTTGCATGTATCAGAAACCATTTTTTGTAGCTCAATCTCCATTGAGCTGCTAGTAATTTCCCCTAACAAAATGCCATCCTCGTCGAAGACAGCATCCACCTTGCAATTTTTTGTGAACCTTTTGAGTACATAATGATTTGGTAGTTCTGTTAGCCTGGCGGTTCTTAGAATGTGAATTAGATGACGGCATGGAATACCACGCCTTTCAAATAACAAGCAACTACAAGAAGCGACCATGTTTGATATATTCCAACTTACAGTCCTCGTTTTGGTAGAAGCATCAACAATGGTTGCTGTTTTGACCTGATCATCTTGTGTTATGCTCTCAACAAGACAATGCTCTCTGTCAGCAAGTAGCTCCTTCTGAAATTCTGTAAATACCTCATGAGTGAATACAATGCTCCCATGCTTTTCTAATCCCCAAGATGTCTTTAATGGAGGTGATGTGTGCAGGCTAACATTATCGTCTTCTAGCTCCTTATGGCGTGGTTCCTCCAAGGCAGTTTCAAAACGAAGCCAAAACTCAACGAAAGCATGCTTGTATCCAATAATGCGAGAGAAGAATGCATTGGCGCTTTCAGATCGTGATGTGGTTCTAAGCAGCCCAGAGAGAGCTATATCATTGAAATAAGCTGGTATCCAAGATTCTCGAAGCTCAAACCTTTTAGTGAACCACTCATTTTCTTCCAATCCAAACTCTTCGATAACATGGGACCATCGCTCCTCAAATTCACTAGGAGTCTCAGAAGCCCACACGACTAAGTTTAAACGGTCATGGAAATATTCGTTGGACTTCAAATCAGGGGACACCTTTTCTCCAACTTTCTTCATAATGTGCCACATGCATAGCCTATGTGTGGTTGTTGGGAATACATTATGTAGTGCAGAAATCATGCTAGCACATTCATCTGTTATCATAAGAGTAGGCTCAACCCCTCCCATTGCTTTTAAAAAAGTCTGAAACAACCAAACAAAGGAAGCTACCTTCTCGTCATGTAGGAATGCAGCACCAAACAAGATACTTCCTTTGTGATGATTCACTCCAGTGAAGGGGGCAAATATCATGTTGTATTCATTTGTGCTGTATGTTGAGTCGAAAGAGACAAGGTTGCCAAAATGTTTGTAATTATTCCTACTAGTGGCATCCGCCCAAAACACATGGACCAACCTTACCTTGTCATCAATAACATAGTCAAAATAAAACCCAGGATTTGCAAGATTCTTTCTGCCTAGTTGGTCAATGAACATTTGAGCATCAGAAGACTTTATGTGGCACCTAAGGGTTCTATGGAAATTTTGGAGATCTTTTTTTGTGCATCCGGCATTTTGAAAACCCCCCAAACCTACAAGAAGGAACCGGTATGCCGTTCAAGTCCCAATGCAAGCACTATGGCAATTGAACAATGTACTCTGCGCCTTACAGCCGACTTTCCGGTTAGATCTAATGAACTGCTGCTTACTAGGGGAAACAAGTACATGGTTATGCACTTGCTCAAAGACAGTGACAATATACCGACTATCCGTTGTACGCTTGATTGCAATTTTTGCCCCGCACCCACACCTAGTAATTTTTCTTTCACTTCTTCTTTTGGTGCCAGGTTCAGAAATTATATTGCCTGTCTTCTCCTCACGGAAACCTTCTTTTGCGCACATGAATCGCTTGTGCATCATGACACCATTGGATGACTTGTGTTGGCCCACACGGACTGAAAACCCAACATGGTGTGCATATACCTCATAGAACTCCTTTGCCGTGTTCACATCAGAAAAATACATCCCAATAGTTGGAGTTATGGATTCATCACAATCTGGTGTGCAGAATGAATCCTGCCTTGTGCATGAGAATCTCTTGTCAGTGCTGTGATCCAAAGGAACTTTCAAGAACCGAAAATAATAATAATTCAAATGTACGTACACATGTGGGGATGCTTGTGGATTTTGTTGGTGTGAAAAACCCTATATCGAGAGGTGGATTAACTCGAGTAGTTGATTCTGCATCAGATTGCACGTCATGGCTCTGCAATGGTATAACAGTATTCGCCTCAGCCTTAGATTCCATTATCGCTACAAGACCTATATGGTGTAAACAAGCATAAGAGAATGCAAAAATTTATGTAATGATAAGGCTAGCTGCAATAGAGGCATCCATGAATTTTGATAATAAATATTACTACATTTTGATAATTAAGGCACATGAAGCTAATTTACTGGAATACATACATATATACTATGTGCATGCACACACAGGAAAACTTAGTTGTGATACAGCCTAAGGTATAATACCTTTCCATGTGATTTTGAATTCAGTTAAAGTAACTAGATTAAGACGTTCCTATAATTTCGATGCCCCCTTCATGAATTAACTGTTACAATTGAGTATGCTTTCTGAATATTAATTTCAGGTGGTCAACAACAGTTCATTTCCATGATTAATCTGTGGTGTAACATGCATAATTTACTTTATCTCCTATTCAGCTTTATCTATATTGATAACTACACGTCTCTACCATCAGTCCTACAGATCCAACTAGATACATCTCTCAACACATCCATACAGAGAGAAGATTAAATAAGAAACGAACAAATCTGAAGAAAGTGACACGTACCTGGTGGCCTTATGGTCTGGAAGAAACCAACTCCAAGACACGAAGGAAACAAGACAGAGTTGGGGCATCCAGCAAATCGATTGAATAATCCCTCAAAGATTTGGAAACGACTAAGAACAAGCAAAGGAATCTCTCACGATGGAAGAGGGAAATCTGGCGGCTCAGCCATTCCCCGTCGACGCCTCTCCAGTCCCTCAAGCCCGTCGACGCCGCTCCAGTCCCCCAAGCCCCTCGCCGCCGCCACCGCCGCCGCCGACGCTCCAGTCTCCCGAGCGGCTGCCGACGCTGCAGCCTCGACTCAGATCCCCCAAACTCTCTAGCCTAGTTTTTTTCTTGTAAATGCGAAGAGGTACAGCTTGAGGACTAGGTACAGAAGGGACATATGTTCAAGGGGTTTACTGATAAAATAACAGCAGTCAGGCGGGCAGTTTTTTGCAAATTGCATGGAATGAACAGCCATTTAATCGACGACATACACTTTCGATCCAGTGGCACAGGTTATAGTTTCCATGCTTCCACTGAAGAAGAGTTTCTACCAGATACTTTCTTTTTGGCAGCCGCAGCATGTATGCGTCTAGTGCTTGCATGCCGATGCATTAATGTTTCTCACGTTCATTTTTTTGTGTATTAATTTTTAGTTTTCAAAATTATAAAAGACATAACTTCTAAACCGCGTGTTGAAATTCAGATCCATTTTCACCGTTGAAACCCTCGCGACGTGCTCTTCAAAAGTAGACCCCGCATGAGATGTTTTGACGAATTAGTCTTCCTGCTAATTAAATATTAATATGTGTGTAACTAGACTATATGCTGCGCCAACTAAGCATATGTGTGTGCCAATAATCTTTCTGCCTACTAAACATCAATGTGTGTGCAATTAGACTATATTTCTGCGCCAACTGAGCATATGTGTGTGCCAATAGTTTTGTCAACTAAACATCAATGTGTGTGCAACTAGACTACATTGCCGCGCCAACCAAGCATATATGTGCGTAACTAGTTCTGTCAACTAAATATCAAATGTGTGTGCAACTAGACTATTGTCGCGTCAATTGCGCATATGTGTGTGCAATTAGTGACCTGCCAACTAAATATCAATATGTGTGCAACTAGACTAAATTACAAGTCAACTGAATATATACGTGTGCAACTAGTCCTTCTGGCAGCTAAACATCAATATGTGTGCAACTAGACTACATTATAAGCTAGCTGAACATCAATGTGTGCAACTAGACTACATTATAAGCCTACTAAATATCAATATGTGTGCAACTAGACTAAATTACAAGCCAACTGATTTTAAAAAAGTTGCACCATTGTAGTACTAAAGTTGCACAATGCAGTACTTTAGTTGCACCATATAGCAACAAAATTGGCATCAAAAAATTTCGTCGAAATATATCCATACATGAACTAGTTTTAAAGATCTCGTCGTGATGAATCCAATGGTGAAAATGAAACTGAATTCCGACATGTGGTTTAAAAGATATGGCTTTAAAAGAATTTGAAATCCCGAAATAAAAATGCGTGAATTTGTTTTACCTAACTGATGAGAGTAGTGTAAACACATTTAATGCCAGCACCCACATGCGCTACGAGATAAAAAAAAATACACATGCATGTGTGTGGTCGCTTGGGAACACCAAATAGCGCGCGGCCACTTTGTAGATTTTGAAACGGATTAATAACTAACTTATAATATTCTTCCTGTCAAAAAAATTATAATAATCTCTCTTTTGAGGAAAACTTATAGTAATCTTGTTAGCACACCGAAACGTACTACTACTTGAGACGGAATCATAGTTTTCTTTGGAGCGAAGCAAAGTCCCAGACAACAAAGCCACCCAACCCGATCACTCATCCACGTGTCTGGACGGACGGCCGAGATTCTCCTCGCGGTGGAGCAGGTGGATTCCAGGCAGGGCTCGACGCGCACACGGCACAGCCCAGCCCCTCCCCCACCATCGTCTCCACCTCCTCCTTTGCTCTGGCCGTCTCCAGTTAGATTAGATCGAACCCTCACGCGGCCACGCGCCAGTCGCGTCCTCCACTCGATTAACCACATGTCGATGCTGGAAGCCTTCTTCGGCAAGGGCGGCGCCGCCGGCGGCGGCGGCTTCCGCGCCGCCAAGTGGTACGCTTTCTTCCTTCTCTGGGAGCCTAGTTCTTGGTCTCTGCTCTGATTTCGATCCGATTGGATTATTTTCCTGATCTGATTGGCGGGGGGGTGATAAAACGCAGCAAGACGCTGCTCAAGCTGTCCATCCCGCGGATAAAGCTGCTGCGGAACCGCCGGGAGCTGCAGCTGCGCCAGATGCGCCGGGACATCGCCAAGCTCCTCGAGGCCGGCCAGGAAGCCACCGCCAGAATCAGGGTACGCTTACTGTGGGCTTGCTTATGGGGCGGCAGAGTGGGATTAGGTTCTTGGACTTTGGGGGTGGGGACTGATGATTAATTGCTTCTTCTCCGTGGTCGCAGGTGGAGCACATCATCCGGGAGGAGAACATGATGGCGGCGCAGGAGATCCTGGAGCTCTTCTGCGAGCTCGTCGCCGTTCGCCTGCCCATCATTGAGGCCCAAAAGTTTGTCACCTGCCCTGTCCTCTTCTTTTTCAGTAACCATATGTGCTAAGCGTTTGCAGATTACTCTGTCAGATCTTTATTTTTCTGTAATAGTGAGACGATGCATTGTACTCCATCCGTCCCAAAATAAGTGTCTCAACCTTAATACAATTTTGTACTAGAGTTAGTACAAAGTTGAGACACTTATTTTGGGACTTGAGGAAGTAGTTCTTTGGGTCTCCATCTGTCTAGCCTAGACAGAATTCCCTGGGTGGAGGCACTCACTAAATTATCCTTCATATGTCCTTAATCAAATTGTTGTTCAAAGTGTATCCTCTCAAATGCGGTTGTTTTACGGTTTTCATAGGCTTGCAGCTAAATTGGTTGTCCCAACCTGTTAAATTTCTTTCCTGCTTCAGGGAATGCCCTATATAGATCTCAAAGAGGCAATATCCAGCATCTCTTTTGCTGCTCCTAGGTGTTCAGATTTGCCTGAACTGATGCAAGTCCAAATGATGTTTGTGACTAAATAATGACTTTTTTGTTCTTGGCATACTGAACGTATAGCTCTCTCTAGTCCCAGAGTTCGCCCAAGTCTGTTGTTAGTGGCTTAGTGCTCAGTTGCTTTTGCAGTTGAATGATGGATGTGGCATGTGATGAATGTCATTGCTATTCAGTTTAAAACCTGACTTTCTTCCCAAAAAAAAGTGCATGTGCCCATTTGTTTGAAAATGTAATGAAATGCATAATTTTAGTTTGTCTCTGTACCAGATTATGTCAGATCTTTGTTTTTATGTAAATAGCGAGACTGATGCATATCCGGTGGCCCGTAAGCATCAGAGTGTTGCCTCCTTTTGACCTTCTCCAAACCGAAGGAAAGACCTGGTTTTATATGCATACTGCTGTTTGTGCGGTGTAGTTCTTTGGGTCTCCATCTGTCTAGACTGAATTCCCTGGGTGGAGGCACAGAAATAAATTATCCTTCTTATATCCTTAATCAATTTGTTGGTGAAGTGTATCCTCTCAAATGTGGTGATTATACAGTTTTCACAGGCTTGCAGCTAAATTGGTTGTCCTAACCTGTTAAATTTCCTTTCCTGCTTCAGGGAATGCCCTATAGATCTCAAAGAGGCAATATCCAGCATCTGTTTTGCTGCTCCTAGGTGTTCAGATTTGCCTGAACTGATGCAAGTCCAAATGATGTTTGCGACTAAATATGGGAAAGAATTTGCTGCTGCAGCTGCAGAGCTTATGCCGGATTCTGGGGTCAACCGGCAGGTCATATGCCAACTTCCATGATAAAATGTACAATCTATTTATGTTACTTAACCATTAGAATGATGCTGATACGATTCGAATCAATACCTATGCAGATAATTGAACTACTTTCAATCCGTCCTCCTCCGGTAGATATAAAGATGAAACTGCTGAAGGAGATTGCTGAGGAGCATGAGATCGACTGGGATCCATCAGCAACAGAGACGGAATATCTTAAACCCCATGAAGATCTATTGGTTAGTGTTTAAATACAAGAAACTGTGGTTGCTTCATTATTTTGAATCTCACCTTGTGACATGTTCCCTTCAATTAGAATGGACCAACCTACTTCAGTGGTTCAACGCTGCCACTTCCAAAGGAGAAACACGTGGAACCAGTAGTTGCAAGTGCCACTGACGAACCTGGTGAAGATTATGAATCTGATGGCGGCTTTGACTCACTGGATTTGCCTGAAGTCCCAAAAGCAGCAATTCGTCCAGCTTCTGGTACTCAATCAACCCCAGATATTGGTCCACATGTGCAAAGCTCACAGTCGTCTGCTCATGATTTCTCAAACCCACCTGACTTGGAAGAGAATCCAACAGCTGATGCTGCTTTCTATAATTATCTGAAAAGTTCAGAACCCCCAGTTTCTCCACAATCTGCTCAGCCAAGGATGCCAGCTTTACCAGATGAAAAGAAGCAATTTGTTCCTTTTGTCTCTCCCCCACCATTTGCTTCTGCTTCTTCTTCTACGGAGAGAAGTGACTCGATTCCCTTAAATTCTCCTCCAGTGAAGCCAACAGAGCAAGAATTCTTCACAAGGTCAGTTGATGAAATGGCTGCTCCCCAAACACCCAAAGATGTCAACATGTTCTCGAAACGTCCAGAACAGGTACATTCAGTCTCTCCTATAGAGAGCGGGGAAAATATTGATATGGATGAAGTGGTTTCAGCTGCTCAAACAGCTGCTGACTCAGCAGAGCGAGCTGCATCGGCAGCACGTGCTGCTGCAAACCTTGCGAAACTGTGCATTGCCGATCTAAAGAAGAACACTAGGGTTTATGAGAGCCACAGTGATGGTAGCCAAAAGGAAAGTCATCATCAAACTGAGGTGACGCAGAAGCCGGTATTTGATCATCAGGACTCTTTTTCCAATGACTTTGAGGGTTATGCACCATCTCATGTGCCTCAGAGATCAACATCGTTGGAGGATGATCCGTTCTCCTACCCCAACCTGTTCTCGTCGAAGCCTTAAGTTCTCGTTATCTGCAAGTTAGTTGCTGAGCCTGGTATTTAGTCGTTGCAATCATGTTGTTTGCGAAGCCTTGTTTGGTCCCCCAAGTGTTTGGGTATTTCGTGGATAATTCTGTGTATGCTGAGTTGATACAGAAAAAGAAGGGTGCAGCAGTTTTACCAGTGCTGCCTTTGTTTATAATGTGTGAACTGTAAATGCGTGAATGTTGTATGAAATTTGAAACTTGAAGCCTGTAGGGGAAACAACAATCTGAACTCATGTAGTTGGATGTTCTTTAGATATATATATATTTTCCACTTGTAGTGAATATCATTTATCTGAATCTAGTGAAACTTTATGTGGTAACTATTTCTTTTGTTTTATTTCAATGCTAGTCATACTCGTGTTTTACTAGCCATTTTTGAGACAAGTGAGGAAAAAAAAGATGTTTTTGTTTTTCCTGAAATATCTCACTCACCTTGGGATGATTGATTGGAAGGGAACTGAAAATGGTTCAGTTTTTCTTCTAATATCTCAACTTGGCTGGTTCATCCGGTCAGGAAACAGCACATAATACTACTACTAAACAGGGGATCTCGTTTTGGTTGAAAATCCCATATACCCAAATGGTTCCGGTGGCAATGGGTTGTTCCCGGGCCAGTCGTATACCCCAAGAACGAAAAGCAAGAAGTTGGGGAAATATCAAACAGGGGGTCTAGTTAGGTTGAAAATCCCTCGTAAATATGCACACCCTTTGTTTTTAAATATAAGTTTTTTTAGAGATTTCAATATGGAAAACATACGAAGCAAAATAAGTGAATTCACACTCTGAACTAAGTCTAATATGGAAAACATCCGTATTTAGTCATCTTAAGAAAACTTATATTTAGAAACAAAGAGAGTACTCCCTCCGTTCGAAAAAAATTGTCTCTCAAATGGATGATACATTCATTTGAAGCTTAGGACAAGTTTTTTCGGACGGAGAAGTACAAGATAAGTATATAAAGTCAAAAAAAAAGCTACAAATTCAGGCTGCCCAGCGTATATTCCATTCCCTTTGGAGATCAGTTGCAAAAGAAAATGTATACGCACATGTACTTGGACATTCCGATTATTTTTCACGATCGTCCAAGATCCAACTCCGAGCTTGCAGCATGGCTCAACATGAATCTAGCCCCTCCCCAAGCAATCTCAAAGCAACGTAGTTCATGACAGTACAGAACATTGTGATTGTTCTCTCGATCTGCAATCCCGCAGCCCCCATCTTCATTTTTCACTCAACTGATAAGGGCATCTCCTACGCCAACTCCCAAACCAGACATGGTATCGGTCCGCGGACTGAGGAGGACCAGTCCGTGGACACAAATGCGAGAGCAGGTCATCCATACAAATCTTCGGGTAAAATCTAATAATGCAGGAGTTAGATGAAACATACTTATTTCTCATCTAGATGAGAGCTAAACACATCTCTAAATCTAACTATCCAAAGGTGGTTTTTATCGGTGTCAGTGTTTGAACAGTCGATGCCACACATGGCACACCGGTACACCACGCATGCACTGGCCGTGAATCAACTAGTACAAGCTAGCACTCGTGACAAGCTAATAAAAGCCTGCAACTATACAATGCTTTGAGGTATGGTACCCGGCCGGTATCAAAATAACAGTCATTTGAATCCTATATACCCAAGAGATTGATCCCCATTACTTGATTTATCTAACCATACAAGCTATACACATCAACGGTATGCCCACGTCGGCATTTCTCTGCCCATCTCATTGGTTCTGCCGTGAGACATGCATGCCATCCTCAAACTGAGCGTATTAATCTCATGTGGTGAAATGTCCAGCCTTCCATTAACATCCCCATTACCCCTCGCACGAGCGGAAATAAACAAATATAGGAATTAAGGCCCTGTTTGGTTCATAAGTTCTAGGACTTTTTTTAGTCCCAACTTATAAGTCCCAAGTCCCTAAAAAGTCTCTATCTATTTGGTTCCTGGGACTTATAAGTCTCTATAAATATTACAACTATAAGTCCCTATAAGTCCCTCCTTGAGAGTCTTATTTAATAAGTCCCAAATCCTCACTTTAAGTCTCTATAAGTCTCTCCTGTTTGGTTTAGATGGGACTTATAGGAATTTATTTAAGTCCCTAGACCAATAAATCCCTGAAAACAAACATCCTCTAAAACAGGAAGGCAACTGAGCAGTCAGCATCTGAGCGGTCACCGGCCCGCTGCGTTTTTACCATCCGCACGTCATCTCTGTTTCTCAACACACTAATGTTTTGACCTTCCAGTGTTCTGCCATTTCCTCTTCCTCACGCGGCTCCTCTTACTTGGTCTTGATCATGGATTACAATAGCGCATCAAACCTCCGGCCGAATGATGCCCACCAGCTCCGCTACCTGCCTGGCGCAGTACCGTTGTTGAACATGAAGTAAGCTCCTTGCTCATGCCCAAGGCCTCGCCCTATGCAATAGACATGGTTACCATGCGCATGACGCTCCCGAGCTCCGCGGCACGAACGAGACACATTTGCTTGATGATGAGCGGCCGAATAGGTTCGACATGCAAAGGCGCCAGTAGCCCTGTGGCGCAAAGGCAAAGCCAGCCGACTCAGATGCGAGGTGGCGCGTGATGTCCATTAGCGGCTGCTCGGTGATTATACCCTCGAACTTGAGTATGTTGCCCACGACGTCGGCAAAGCTGACGACGAAGCAGTGGGTGGAGAAGCCCACGAGAAGGTAGATGGGGGGTCTGGGCATCACCTTCCACGTAGGCTCTTCAAGTTTAGAGATCAAGATCTGAACCTTCTCTTGCATAGAACATTCACATATTGTCCAGACTACAGAATCTTTCACTGGCGACTAAATGAACGCATCAGGTATCGATTTGGGCTTGTGGCTCAACTATTTTCCCTATCATATTGTTGCCTGATTTGTTGGCTTACTACTTTTCGATGTTGGAAATGATGATGACATACAAAATGTGTGTCTGTGTTATGATATGATAATTGGGTGTTTACCATATCGTTTGCATGCTTGTGAGTTAAGATATCCTTTAAATTATTCAATAAATTTACCTCATCCTGCATGTTTTGTAAACTGTATTGTACCAGGATGACTGTGCTATAGTTCTGGAAAGTAGGTGTCTGAGGTATTTTGCTACTGTCTAATTAGTCTTTTTGCAGTGATTCCTCGGATAAATCAGTTTATTGCATCATACATGGTTGATGGAATACTCAACGAGACAAAACTTGCTATCTGGAATCGATCTACCTTAATTATAGGCAGGTAACACTCAGAAAATACAAAACATGCATGACTTTTCATTTCCATTTTCGTTTTTTCTTCTAACTAGATAATGTATTGTAAGCTCCATCCGCGGAGCAATGCAATAACTCTTCAACTTAGATTTATAGAATGCACAAACAGGGCAGGATGCATGAATATCTTGCTGCTATTCGAATGGTAACATGCAAACTATCTCACTGTTCTGATTGCATTGTCGATCTTCATTGGATTGGTTTTTGTTCCGCAATATTTTAAGACTCAATTCTTAACCATTCCAGGTCCTCAAAAACTTCTTCCGATATATTATTTGTGTTATGGACCCTCTATATTTCCCATATGAATTGCATGAACCGTTGATGACCATTTTTTTCTCCATTGTTTTCAGAATACTCGTGATGCATCTATTGGACCTGTTCTTACCTATCAGGCATACCACGCTTCAAGCTACAAGCAAATATTACTACTACCAACAGAACTATATCTGCCCAGCCATTTTTATTCATACATATTTAGATACAATATGCAACTTAGTTTCTTTCTTTCTCATACTAACACTAACATAAAAGTCCCGCCGCGACGCGCGGGGTATCTTCTAGTTTTCATGAAAGATTCGCGCCCGTCTCATGATGCGATCTGCTCATCTTCGGCTATGGTATCTACATACTGCTGAGCGTTGGCTAATTCGAATTCTTCAGAATATATGAACTATCTATCACCTTCGTGTACATCATTTATGAATTGTGGTTCATCTCCGGCTCGGAGATATCTGAACTCCTTGGAGGCGCTGATCTGACAAAGCTAAAGCACTCCATAATGTCAAGCCGGCAAGTCGGGCACGTGGACGCCCTGCCGAACCACGGCTCGATGCACGGTGTATGGAAGGCATGGGAGCACGGCAGCCGGACGTTTTCCTTGTCGTCCTCAGCCTCCAAGCCCAACAAACATATGGCGCACACCTCATCAGGCTCACGGTCACGGCGGCGCTTTCGGCCACAGAGTGCCACAACTCCGGCGGGAGCCTTGGTTTCCGCGGGGGCGGCTTCTTTGCAAGCGAGGAGCAGCGCCTTGGCCTCATAGACCAGGGTTATACAGACCTGGGGTATCTTCAAGTATAAGTCGTAGCCAGGGACGACGCCCCCGGCGGCGACGATCTCGTCGATCTCACGGCCAATTGACTCAACGATCATCGTGGCCAGGTCAACGGGCGTTTGGCTTGAATCTGCAGCGTCGGCGGGGAGTTTGCACTCGCTTTCGTTGGTCAGCGCCACCGCAACGGTGAGCATGTCTCGGATGAGTTTGCCGGAGAGTTTGCTGCACTGGAAGACAGAGTGATCGAGGATCTTGAACTGTACGTCGAGCTTCCTGACGACTTGATTGGTCACGTCGACCGGCCGGCCCCTTGGCCCGAACCCGCGCGGCGCATGGGACAAGACCAGGCCGCCACGCAGGCGCAAGGTGCACGGCTGGTCGCTCGGCTTCTTGTCGCCGTTGAGGGCCACTTCTCCGCGGAAACGGAAGCGGACCTCCGACGCAGCCGCCGCCGGAGGCCACGGAGGCAGTGCTTCTCCTTCCATGGCCGCCGCTGCCGTACCTGCAGGCTGCAGCGGACGGGAAACAATGGAGGACGAGGAACCACTGACGATCTGATCTGCGTTGTTAGAATAAATCCGAGGTGTTCCGTCCATCTTTCAAGGACCAAGCAATCACACGAGCACGACACCGAGA